AAACGCCGGCCCGGCAGGCTCGACGGCCACAATCGCTTTCACCAGCCCCGGCCGCGCGTCGGCGAGCAGCCAGGCTATCTTGCAGCCCATGCTGTGAGCCAGGAGGATGGCGGGCTTGCCGATCTTGTCCAGGAGGGCCGCCAGAGACTTTTGGGCGACGGATTGCTCTTCTGCCAGGTTGGCGAGCTGCGGGTGGGTCGACCTCATGACGTGGTCGAAGGCGGGGGAGCCTTTGCCTGCGGGGGGGCTGTCGGGCCATTGGGTGGAGGAGGGCGGGGTGGCCCAGGCTTTTTGGAGGGGGGCCGCGCCGAAGGTGAGGTATGGGGAGGAGGAGGAGGAGGAGGAGAGGTGGGTGGGGGGGTGCCAGGGGGAGCGGCCGCGGAAGGGGGGATCGATGAGGTAGAGCTCGTGGGAGAGGGAGAGGAAGTGGGAGGACCAGCTTTGTTGGGTGGGCGAGTTGGTGTTGTTGTCGTTGTTGGCTGGGGTGGTGAGGAAGTCCTGGGTGGTGGGTTAGTTGGGGTGAATCAAGGTTGGCCCGGACGATGTGACCTACAATGCCTGTGCGACTGCTTCCAGGGATGAAGATTATGGGGTATTTCTGAAGGGGTTTACGGACTGGGACGAGGTGCTCGACATACACCTGCCCGTATACCGTCTCATTGCCGGTGCCGTCATCAACATACTCGCCGCCAACGTAAAACACCTCCCGGGTATGTGCGTCGGCCGGAATACTGTCCATTACCAGTTGATGATTTTGACAAGCATGATGGTTGAAAACGCCATCAGAAGGGCCAGTGCAACATCGGATGATAGGTAGGTTCATGGCAGTCGAGTGGGACAGGGTCTCGGAAAAAGGCTCGACCCGGTGCGGGGGAATTGTGACGTTACCTTCCCTGCGAGCGACCTATGCTCTCTTTTAGAGAATGGCTTTCTGTATGATGGACATTTATCTGAATGAGAATGCTGTTTTGTTTCTTTGTCATCCGTCTTCTTCTCTACGTCTGTTAGTGCAGACAAATTTAAAGGAGAAGCAGAGAATGGCGAACTACCGCCAGAGTGAGGTCTAGTCTGGTGAAGCGGCGTAGAAAAGCTTTTCATACTGGCATGTGTACCTATAGAATAGCCACCAGTGGTCAAGAACTTCTCGTTCGGCCAAAGGTCATGCTGAAGTCGAGGCGATGGCGTCAAATACAGAACTTTTAAGGGAGACGGATTGCCGAAAAGGTTCGCGTTGCTTTTCTATGTCAAGGTGTTCTATATTTATAAAAACTTGTGCTTTTCATACTCGATTATCAATCGACAACTCCAGCAGCTCGTTATTTGTCCCACACGTACACCCTATCCCCGCGAAGACCCTGCCTGTCATCATTGACACAAACCGTCCCATACCACTTCATCTTCTCCCTCTGGTCCGCCGTCGGCCTCGCCGCCCGATACGCCTCCTTGAGCTTCACCCACATGTCAACAAATCATCCAATTTCCCATCATTATAGCAGGCGATCTGGAGGGCCGAGCGGAGGTGGGAAAACTTGGCCGAGGACGGGCAGGAGAGGGTGCGGGCGATGGCGGGGTTGGTGATGTTGAGGGGGAGGAGGGAGAACTGGAGGACGTAGTTGGGGCGGTGGCATTTGGCCTTGTGGGAGGGCCAGTGGGCGGATCGGCGATTGGGGGGGCCAGTAGTGGGCGGTGCGGCAGCGGGAGCAGCGGAGGAGGTGGGGGGTGGTGGTTTTAAATGGAAGAACAGGAGGGTTGGAGCATTTGTGGGGGGGTGGGGGAGGGAGCCATGGTGATAAGGGGTGGTGATGAAGGGTGCTGGTGGAAAGAAAACAGAAAGAAAAACAAAAAGCGGTCAGAAATTAGTGGTTTATATCCTTGGTTTCTGATTCAACTCCAGGGCCGAAATCCTGCTTTGGTGTCGGTGTTGACGCGGCGACAGAGAGTGAGAAGTGGATGTAAATTTGAGCATGGTGATGGTGCAAGACTTGGTGTTTTGGTGAAGCCTTGAGAGGAAGAGTTTTTGAGCCACTGTGAGGAGAATGTCAAAGTATTTGGCCATGTTGGTAAGTCCAAGGTCGCCATCATTGTCAAGAGCAACGGACGCTGTGCTGTGTGGAGACTTGCCCCTTTTCCTGACCAAGGCACTACAAGCGGAGGGGTTAGGGTTATGGTTAATTCAGGGAGGCTATTGTTTTGCTTGCTCCTATCCCAGCGGGTAGGCATGAAGGATTCACATCCGCGCGATTCTCTGGAGTTGGCTCTCCAGGTAGAACCTACTTTGATCGGTATACCTTTGAGCGAAGTTGGGGTATCGCTGAGACATGTATGACGAAACAACCACAGTCTACAGGACCACAGCAGGATCATCAGCTCTGTGCGGAAGCAACGTCTTGAAACACGCCGCGCGTGGCTTGCAGCTGAGCTTCACCATGCGGTTGGCAAATGGGGCATACCATTATTCATCGCAGCTGCTGTACGGTTTGTGGCACTGGTTCATCTCATCTTTACTGGCACAGACCGATCGTCTGTGTCTGCGTAACTAGGCCGCATTAGTACGAGGGAAAGGTTGTGGATATGCAACAAAAACATGGAATGATGATGATGAGGGGTGTTGATGCGTGAGAGACAGGTCTATAAAGTCCATGACAGCCCCGTTGGAGATCAGACTCAGGAGCAGACATCTTCACAATTCCACGCCTTCTTACATTCCATACTATTATTGATTATACAATGACTCGTCCGGCCAAAACCAAAGCCATCATGCCCGCCGAAGAGGCCAAGGACACCACCCACGAGGTGATCAGCTCCTACTTCATTGGCCCCCGCGCCGAGAACCTCCCCCAATTCCGAGAAAACATCACCACGATCCTCGACGAACTCCAACTCGCCCGCAAGAACTACTTTGAACAAGATGTCGTCTCTCTTTCCTTTCTTCCAGGTCTCTTCCAGTCAAGTCTGGGGCTGTGCTAATAAACTCGCCAGGAAAACGACTTCACCTTCATTCCCCCCTTTATCCAGACCTCTCCCTCCTTCCTTGCCTCCGCCGCCCGGACCAAGACCGCCGTCCAGCAAACGGCGCGCCTCCTCGGCCAGCACTCCATCCCCTTCTGGTCCCCCCGGTACCAAGCCCACATGTGCACCGACCTCAGCATGCCTGCCCTGCTGGGCTACTTCATGACCATGCTCTACAACCCCAACAACGTTGCCATTGAAGCCTCCCCCTTGTCCACCGTCGCTGAGATCGAAGTCGGTGAGCAGCTCTGCGAACTGTTTGGTTTTGAAGAGCAGGACAAGGCCTGGGGCCATGTCACCTGCGATGGCACTGTTGCCAACATCGAAGCTCTGTGGGTGGCGAGAAACCTAAAGTATTACCCGCTGTCTGTGAGGAAGGCAATGGATGACGAAGATGGCCCGTTGAGATTTATCAGTGAGGAGTTCAAAGTCCGAACTTGTGAGGGCAGGTCGAAGCTGCTGAAGGAGATGAGTTTGTGGGAGATGATGAACATGAGGGTGAAAACTGTTCTGGATATCCCCGGGCTCTTGCGCGAGCAGTTTGGGATCACGCCGGAGTGGTTGGAGGAGGCGATGGCAGAGTACAATGTTCAGACGGTAGGGAAGGAGGCGCTGAATCGACATTTCGGGGTTGGTGAGGGGATGGATGGGCAGTTCTTTGTGCCCAGCACCAAGCACTACTCCTGGCCCAAAGCAGCAGCGCTGGTTGGATTGGGGTCCGATAATGCTGTCAGTGTTGGGGTTGACCATGATGCGAGGGTTGATCTTGATAAGCTGGAGAAGCTGCTGGAGGAGCGGTTTGCTAGGCAACAGCCTGTTTATTCGGTTGTAGCTGTCATTGGGTCCACGGAAGAAGGGGCCGTGGATCCGTTGGAGAAGATCTTGGCCATGAGACAGCGATTTCAAGCACGAGGCATGTCGTTCATGGTTCATGCCGATGCAGCCTGGGGAGGCTACTTCGCCACGATGCTGCCTCGAGAGGGCCAGGATGATGCCGACAGAGACGGGGGCGATGACGGCCTTGTGCCCGACCTGAGCTTGAGGGTCGAGACACAGCAATCTCTCTTTGCTTTGCGGTACTGCGACTCGATCACGGTCGACCCCCACAAGGCAGGGTACATCCCCTATCCTGCTGGTGCACTGACGTATCGAGACGGGAGGATCAAGAATCTTGTGACATGGACAAGTCCGTACTTGTCTCGAGGGGCAGTCACCAGTATTGGAATTTATGGTGTGGAGGGAAGGTAAGGGGCAACGGCAGTCCTTTTCCTAGCTTGACAGCAAGCTGACAATGACCACAGCAAGCCAGGTGCATCAGCTGTCTCGACATGGCTGTCTAACAAGTGCATAGGGCTTGATCAGAAGGGATACGGCGCTCTTTTGGCAGAAGCATGCTTCACCTCGTCTCGTGTGAGTTACCTCGGGTGCTGATTTGACGCAATTGTACTCCGGTTGACAACAGGCAGCTCTCGGCCCTCTGGGCCGCACTCTCCACCCCAAGAGACTCGTTCGTCTGCACTCCCTTCAACGCATTGCCTTCAGAATCCTCTTCCGATCCGAGGGAGGTCGAGCGAGAAAAGCAGAGAATCAGAGAAGAAATCCTCAACAAGTCAAACACCGAGATCATCGCCCAGGACAGCATCACCATAAACCAGGCCGACAAAACCATCACACTTCTCCGCGCCCTTGGCTCGGATCTCAACATCAACGCCTTTGCTCTCAACTGGCGCCACCCAGATGGCTGCCTCAACACCGATGTTGAAGAAGCAAACTACCTCATGGAGCGTGTCGTCAGTCGTCTATCGGTCGACCATCCTGATGACAACCCTTCCTCCATCCCATTGTACTTGACCTCCACAGAGTTTGAGTACAAGGACTACGGAGACTGCGCCACCAACTTCAAACGACGTCTCGGGCTTGACACCAGCACCCCTCACGAAAAGCTAATGGTGCTTCGTAACGTGGTGATGAGTCCCTTGGCAACCATGGACGGAGACCACGGCCGATTCATCAACATGCTCGGCGAGACCTTCCGAGAGCTTGTCGAGAAGGAAGTCAAAGTATGCCAGGCACGAAACGACGACAGCCCAGATTATCACAGCTTCTGGATCAGAGGCCGTGGCACGGCCAAGACTGTTTACCTGTCTTACAGACCCATGTTCCACCTCGCCAAGCACCGCAAGCAAATCATCCTCGAAGCAGAGTTTGCCAGCGAAGAGGGTCAGCGGGCGTACAGCCTGTTGGAAGGCAACACAGGCGACGATGAGATCATCCTCAAAACCTCTGACAAAATCGACCTCGACTCTTTACTTTCCTCCAGGACATCCAGCACAACCCTCGTCGGAAATCTAAGCACCTCGTCCAAGTAAGCCCCTCTTCTCTCCCCTCCCTTTTCCGCTCCCGTCCTGCTAACTGCCCTTCATCCAGTGGCACCATCCTCCCCCGCACCCCCCTGACCATCCTCTCCATCCTCAAAAACCGCCCCTTGAACACCTCCTCCCACGACGACACCTACCCCTCCGGCTTCTGCCCGTTCTACCTCTACGGCCTCCCCAGCCATACCTCCTCCCCATCAGAAACCCCCCACCAGCTCTACATCGACCACATCCTCACCAAATCCCCCAACATCTTCCTCTCCTCCCCCATCGAACTAACCCTCGACAACGAACAGCCCATCCCCTTCTCCACCGCCGTCACAAAAGGGGCAATCCTCGCCCTCGAAGGCATCCACGAAGCAGCACTCCAACCCTTCCCCGCTGACCACCCCCTTCCCGCAAACTTCTTCTTCAACCCCGGGAGGGAGTTTAAAGTATCGATATGGGGTGACGATCGCGCACCTGATGGTGAGTTACCATTTTTTCCATTTCCCTGTTACATTCCTACCTCACCGTCAGAGTAGGAGGGAGAAGAAGCTAACAAACAGCAGCTAGCGCAAGGGGTCTGTTGACAGAAATCAAAAAGACCGAACCCATAGCTAGGGGGAAACTCGTCCTGAAAGAAGACGTCGGGGGTATGGTGGTGGATGTGGAGAGGATTAACCGGGATCCGTGGAAGGAGACGGAGGAGCAGAAGGTCAGTCTCTGGCGGGAGAGGTGTTGGCAAGGTTGGGAAGGAGATTGATAAGGGGGTTTCAACATCTGGGGGGAAGGGGGAGGCCGCAACGAACGGGGTGGTTGCGGATGGGAATGAGGTGCGTGTTTGTCCGAACTGTGGTGAGTAGGTTAATTGGAAGAGAGGGGGGGGGAGGGGGAGGAGGGGTTGCTTTTGTAGGGTATGTTTTGGTATTTAATATCAAAGATTGCGTTTCGCCACGCGTCTCGCGTATAATGTCACGATGTCTACCTTACAACACAGCGGCGATGACACCAGCAGCTACACCTGCAACAGCCACGGCCATACCCGTGCCCATGCCCCGAGGGGCAGCGCCGCTCTTAGTCACCTCTCTCGGCGGCCTTCTCCCAGGCCTCGAGGTACTGCGAGACAAAGTCCTTCGAGTCCTTCGGCACATGATTGTCGTACCTACCATCAGATTCTCGCTGTCAGCATACTCTTTTCTAAACACATCACTCCGTCATCAGGGAAACATACCACGACTGAGTCTTCACCTGGTTCCAGTTCCACTCCCCACCAGTCAACATAGCCTGCAGCGAAGCCTCGGAATCGGGGGCATGGGTGATTGCCGAAACGATATCCGAAGTGAGGGAAGGGTATCTTGGGTCGTGCATAAAGGAGCTCTGGACCTTGTACCACGTTGTGGCCAGCGGCGTGATGAATGGCGATACCTCGGAGGGGACGGGGGATGGTGAGTAGATCGCCGAGACAAACTGATTCGCATCGGTCGAAGTGGGGAAAGTGAGTCCGTTGCCTTCGTCAGCGGCAGAGACGAGAGCAGCACTGCTGATGACGAGGAGGGTTGAGAACTTCATTTTGAGAGGATTATTTGTGGTTGACGAGGAAGAAGGATATGAGGACAAATGAGGGAAGTACAAGGCGAAGGAAGGGGCCTTATATACCTAGGTATAAAAGGAGTACGCAATTTGGCTAGACTGGTTTATGCAGGGGCCGTGTGACGGTGATTTTTCGGTCTCGTCTTTTGGTGGTACGTCGTGATCGAGCCTCGTCCATTGCCGCCTAACCTGTTGGTTCCTGGTGTCAAATAGTCAACTGGGCCCACTGATAAGGAATTCATATCTTGGCAGTGGGACCTGGGCCACTGGGTTCGGCCTTTTCCAGCCACCCGGGCAACTCACCCTCGTACAACAACAGAATTGACACCGTTTTTGGACCCCATACCCAATTCGACACCTGGTTCCCGTACGGTACTGTGCGTCACATTTTGGTAGTCCTTCACCTATCAGAATGATCCAATAAATCCACTTTCGACTTTCTACCGACGTAAGGTGTCTTTGGGAGAACATGCCCGACATGTCGGAACTCCCATGCCGACTGTGCCGTCGACAAGCAGGATGCCACTCACCCACAGAGTCCGAGCTGTGAGCCTCAAGTTCTGGATACCTACCTGACATCAGAGTATCGTTCGAATTGGCAGGAGTTAACCCAAAGACATGAACTTCTAAACTCAGGTAGACAACAGGATCCAATAACGTACATTATAAGCGAGTCGCGCATATAAGCGAGTCGCGCACTCTCTACCACCCTACGAATACTATCCTCAATTACACCACATCAAGACAAGGAATTAACTATAATTACATCAGAAACAGCTGAATCAGATGCTTCTACAGCCTCCTAGCAAATACGCGCATTATAGCCAGGCTTACCGCATACACCACAGCACTGAACCTTCGTACGAGCCCCCCCTACATTACTACTATCCGGCTACGTTTCTTACACTCCCTCCTTATCCACGGCCTTCTGATCCAGTAGATCCTGTGCCTCTTGTACAGTAAGTTACCTTCCAAGCCTCACACGTGTTTTTTTGGCTCTCCGGCGCTTACTTAGTGCCTCATTAGCCTTACGGAGCAAAGAGACCTCTATACAAAGGAAAGCCACCTAGTGCATTCTAGCCGTTATACCTTTAATAAGCTGGTCTACCGCAGCTAATATTAAAGTCAGGAAACTATTTTAATAGTTAGTAATGCGAATCTTAAAAAGCATTAACTATAAGTTATTTTCTCGAGGGTTATATAGTATCTAGGAGACCTAAAGTTATATAGTGCCGGGCCGTAAATTTAAAGGTATTAACGTACGAAGCTATTATATCTAGCTTAAAAAGTACCTTCTTTAAATCGTACGGTATAAGGCTAGTACCCGTAAAGCTACCCTATATATTTTTCTCTATTATAGAGGCAAAGAAGGCTTCGCGGAAAGTATAGAGGAACTCGAGCTTACTTATATAATTAATATATCTATATATGAAGTCCTCGATTTAGCGACCGTACGTTTATTTTAACGGCCCAAAGCAATTAATATTAAATAGCTAAAGGAAGTAAAAGAAGTATAAAAGTATATAAAGTATAATAATATTATTCTATTAATAGTAATGTTTAAATTTAGTTAAATAATTACTTTCGTAACCTTCGAGGATTAATAGTTAATATTTACCTTTTATATAGAACGTTATATAATAATCGAAGTACTTAATTTCATTATTATTAATAATTATAACACATTAAGTAAATAATAAATTATATTTAGTATATTAATTAACAAAATAGTATTATAATTAAAGTAATAAAAAAGGGAATAGCTCAGCCGAAAGTATCAACTCTTTAAATTAATTTTACTTTATTATAACCGTCCGAAGTCGTAATTACTATACTTATAAAAATAATATTTATTATAAACTTAGATTCGTCGAATTTATAAATATTATTATTTATAATACTATACTTAGCCTTAGTGTTTTATATAAACGAGAATTATTTGGCTATAACCTTTAGATCTTTATACTTAGCCCTTTAATAGTTATATCTATACGTGAAATACGTACGGAACTATAGTTAACGTTTAACCAAGTTATATACTTAAAGCTTACTAATAAGGGGCACGTCGCGTATACGTAGTAATTAATTAGCTATATCTTTACACTACGTAATTTTAGTAGAAAAGCTCGCGCATATAGCTTAATAATATATTAAACAATAATATCCTCTTCGGATTAAGTGAGCTTCTTCGATTTGGGCGTAGTATCGCGTCGTGTAGGCCGGCCAGCGCGTCGGTTACGGAGCGTTAATTCTGGAATATTATAGAGCCTCGCTGCTGCTCTGACGCTTAAACGCTCATCATTCTGAAGAGCTTCGAGGGCTAAGATTACCCTCGCTTCTTTTAAAGTAGGTGGCATGTTGGGTTGTGGAGAAAAATGATGTTAAGTGTAGAGAGAACGCGTCGCAATGGCTAGTGCGCGACTCGCTTATAATGTACGTTATGAATGTTTCAACAAAACATGCATCCATAGCCTACCCCCATCTCTACCCTCCTCAACTACCCCCCCACCAAACCCATACTCCCCCTTCACAACCCCCCGCCCTCTCAGCCACAGCAACCACAGCACTATTTACCGCCTTCCCCCCCTTGGGTACCCCGGTTGGAAAACCTTGCCCCCCTTTTCCAACAAATGCGACAACTGCGGAGTGGAGGCGATCTTCTGGAGGTGCAATGCACTTAGGCGGAAGATATGCCGGTCGATTGGGTGGGAGAGGTAGCTTGGGTTTATCACTGGGGGTTGCGAGGGGGAGGAAGAGGAGATGTGCATGCTGCCGCGGGAGAAGGGCTGCTGGAGGAGGGTGAGGAGGGTGAGGTATTTGCCTGTGTCTTTTCGCGATGGCGGCATTTGCGGGGAGGGCTGAGCTGGCATTTACAACGGTTAGGGGACCGGTGCGGTTGGTAAGGTATTCGGAGAGGGCTGCTTGGAAGACGGCGGGGTCGGCGAAGTCTTCGGCTGTGGTGAGATGGGATTTTGCCATTAATCTGGTGTGGGTGTTAGGGTTCTGGACCTCAGGATCTTGATGACAATGAGCAAGGTACTAACCCCAGAGGCAACATGATGTGATTTTGGTAATTCTCTCCATCAAAAGCCATTGTTGACCACCACCTTGATTCCCAACCTGTTCAGAAGCCTAGAGCTGCCAATCCCAGGCAGCTCTAGCAGCTTGGCAGACTCAACTGCTCTTGCCGAGACAATCACCCTCGTTGATCCAGACATTGTGCTTCACTCCGTCCTTGGCATACCCCACGCCTGTGACAGTTGGAGGGGCGGGCGCCTTGCTTTCTCACATCGGTGTGAATCTTTGTCACGAGAGCGAGACCCGGTAATGACCTTGAGATTCTTTTTCCCTTTGGCTGCAAGATAGTGCCTGTTACCAGGGTAGCTCCGTTCCTTGATTTTCGAGTCAATGTTGAACGGATTAGCAAAGCCGCCCAAAGAAAGTCCTCTCGGGTCTCCGGTGACCCCTAGGCCCAGATTCTCATATGTTCTCGCCCATGTCTTCTGGAACGGGCCGCAGACTTCTGGAAAGGAGTTACGATTGGTCCATTCTTCCCATGCACTGTCTCGTCAAGAAACTGGACTCCTAGATCGTGCTTGACCTCCTTTGATGAAGTCACAAACTGCTCTGATTTCTTGTAATACGGCTGCAGCCCCTTCGAGAACCAAGATATTGGACGAGGGGTTCTCGGAGAAACGTGCAGCGAGTGTAAGACCAGCTGTTCCCCCGCCTACGATTCTGAGCTCGGCATTAATAGCCTGTGTCGAAGGCGAAGAGTAGACTAAGGCAATAACTTACACACAATCCCATGGTTGACCTTGGGCGAAACCTGCCGCAAGGAAAAAGAAGCCGCTCAAGACTTTTGCCAACATCTTGCTTGGGACCTAATGCGAAGAGATGATAGAGAGGAACAGTGCACTGGAGGGGATCAGAGTTATACCATACGTACTTACTGATGAGGATGCTCCAGTCTACCTTATCTTCATTGGTAAATCCATCTCGATGTCCAACAAAAGCTACACAACATAGAACTATTGATAAGGCTGATGATGGCTGCATGTTTCTCGGGTTTATTGCGCCTCTCCTAGATCGTCTCTCGGCTGTACAACTCCGCCAAGACCGCCATTTCGGGCAGCTCATTCCCGTTCTACATTTTGTGTCCCCGAAGCCCCCAAAGTGAACATCCTAACCCATAATCGCGAATAAATGCCACAAACAGAGCGTCCGAGAAAGAAACTAGTACACACTGATACACCTAAACCCCCCTCTCGTCACTAACCCTCCTCCCCTCCACCCATTCCACAACCACCTGAAAGTCCTTGCACATGTGCACCACACCCATCCCATCGGTCTCGACCTTTTGCCCCTCCGTCTCCGGATTCTGGCCCTCAAGCGCGGTATCACCGCAACACATGAGGCTCTGTCTCAGGTAGCCAAAGCAGTGGTTGATGTGGCTGTGATCATCATCATGCCCTTGCATTCTTTTATACTTAACATCACCCGCAATAAGCGAGTTGTACCTCGTCATGATCATCTGCAGGCAGTGAAGCTGGTGGAAGACAGCCACCGAGTAGACTTGCTGGTTATGGAACTCCATCGGGGGAGGGAGGTGGGAACTGCCGGAGGGGTTGAAGTTGGGTGGGGTGGTGATGAAGCCGTTGCCGAGGGGGAAGGAGGAGGTCCAGGCGGGAGGGGTGGTGGTGCTGTTGGTTGGGGGCTCGGGGTCAGGGCGGAAGGTTTGGGGGCGGAGGGAGACTAGGTAGGTAGGTAGGGGCTGTTTAGAGCCGTGTCCTGGGTGGGCTGTGAGGAGAAAAAAGGGAAAAATCATACATTCTGGCACAAGGCCGCTGATGTCTGAGGCGAGGTGGAGGGTGTCCTCTTTCCCGCTCGTGACGTGAGAGTTGCACTGAGAAGATGTTTGTGAAGTGGAATAGGCGACGATGCCCCATGTCGCGCAGCTGCAGATTAGGACGGTGAAGAAGGCGAGAAGATACAACGTGATTATAAGGACCCGTGATCTCCTGGCTGGTGTTTGGCCTTCTTGGGTCGTGTCATCTCGCCAACTCCGAATTATGGTGGGGCTGCGAGGAGACTTTTCCCAGTTGTGTAGCAGACCCAGTCCTTCACCATGCAGCTTGGGAATGGCATGTGTTGTTGAAGGGCTGATCGGGGACCCAGCGAATGTTGTTCTGCTGTCGAGGCTGTATCGTGATGATGCCATCTTAGGAAGAAGCCATCAAGAATAAAAATAAATAAAAGTATACAGAAGTAGAAGAAGAAAACTGGGGTGCACAACTTCTTGGAGAATGGACGGAGGAGCCAAGTTGACTTTCCTTAACCTTAGGTGTTAGGCGTTAAGAAAATAGGGGTCAGGGGTCAGGGGTCAGGGGTTGAGGGGCGGACAGGTTCCGCATCGATAGCACATGCCACAGTCTTGACGTAGGGTAGAGCGGCACCTTTTATAGAACAAAGAACCCCAAGATGTTTGAGCCTGATTGTTTGCAAAGGAGCAGGTCTGGGGCGAGGCTTGGCATGTGTCCTGCTGCGTGGAAATCACAATGGACAATGTCGATCATTGCCATATGCCACTGCCTGAATAGATGCATTTCCCGCACTTTCCCGTCTGGTGTCGCAGATGGAGGTCTGTTCTTTCGTGAAAGCTTCAAGGTTGAGGCTATCATGAGCCTTGTGCTGTAGCGGCCAGCTCTTTTGTTTGACCCAGGACGGTACGCGGGTGCATAATTAACAGCGGGAATACTCCGCCAGAGGAAGAACGCTTCAGGACATTCAGCTTGGGTCTGATTCCAGTGTTTAGGTAATTTCATGCCAACAAGCCGTGGGCGAACCAAGGTCACGCCAGCAGAGGAGGGCGACATCGTTCTAGGACCTAGTGTCCAGTCACCTAGGTAGGCATTGTCCGGGAGTATGATAGATTGGAAACTTGAACCTGTGGTCTACTAGGGGATGTTGGGTCATAGAACGAAGATATAGGTTTGATCAGGGTTGGCATAAAACTTGGCTTAACTGTCAAAGTCAAGCCAAGCACCAAGTTAAGTCTGGTAGGTGGGCTTGGCGGCTTCCATTGTCAAGTTCGCTCGTAAAGCTTAACTCGAACAAGCTCCTTTGGTCTGAAGACTTGATGATAGAGTCACACATATGAATTTTGCCCTGAGATTCGTGTTCATGACCCATATGCCATCTCCTAGACCATGTTTATGTACAAAATCAACCACACATGCTATTTACATCTTTCTCCACACCCCCTTCTTGCCAACCACCATATACAATCTACAAGCACTGCGAATACCACTGGTTACTAGCCTGGCACGTCCCCTGGGCACAGCACGTCGGCCCCGTCCATCCCTGCCCGCCACATTGAGCCCACCTAGCAGCACAGTTTCCACCCGGAGTAGCACTTGGCGAAGGCGCCACGGCCGTCGAGCTAGGCCCAGGAGCAGGACTACCACCACCACCACCATCAGCACGAATCTCGGGGTGCGCATTCGTGGTCAACATCTGCGCATAGGCATCAAACCACGCGCCCGCCTGCGGAGCCCCCGACATGCCACACGTCCCGTCCGACTCGCCACCGGGCTTGACCCAGAGGATGGCGTCGACGTTGGGGTTGTTGGTGTTGGTCGTGAAGGGTTGACCGAAGCCGGCGGGGGAGACGTTGCACCACTCGCCCCATTCCTTGCGGGCGCCGTCGAGGGCGACGCGGCCTTGGTCGATGATGAAGTTGGTGGGGAGGCCGCGCTCGCGGAGGGCGTTGCCGAGGGAGGTGGCGTAGCGGGACTCGTCGGCCGAGGGGCTGCCGGCCGTGTATGGGGGTGGGTTGTTGGTGGAGTAGGGGTTGTAGTTGGAGACGTTGCTGGAGTAGCCGCGGATGCGGGCGTTGCTGCCGGCCTTTTGGAGGATGGTGGCTACTTCGGCGGCGGCTTAAAGGGAGTTAGTTCGATCTCTTTGGGTTTTGTGAGAGGAGGTCACTGCTTACTAGGTTTGAGGTTGTCCGCCCAGCCGAGCCAGCCGCCGTTGGCGACGTCAAGGTAGAGGTGGATGTTGCTGGCCTGGAGCTGCTGAATGGCATAGGCAATGCCGTCCTGCTGAGGCCCGCGGGCGTTGCGGCAGAAGGCAGTGGTGCCGGTCACCATGTTGCCGATGGCATCAGGCTCAAGAATAACAGCAAACTGAAGATCCGATGCGGCCTTGAGCTTCTGAGCAAAAGGCTGGACATACTCGGTGCGGTAACGGTTCAGACCGTTTTGGTCCAGACTCAGCTCTCCTGAAGAATGACCGGCGCTGCAGTCGCGGTCGGGGAGGTTGTACAGCACAAGACCGACGATGGGCTTCTCGCCCCTAGACTGAGCAGCGCGGGCATTGCGGATGGCGTCATCGATGTCGCGAAGGAGGAAGATGTTGGAGATCCAGACAAAGGTGCCGACCTTGTTCTGGACGTACTGCACCTTGGCCGCGTTGGTCTGGTCTCCGCGGGACAGGAAGGCCTGGCGAGTCCTCTCGAGCGACTCGCTGTACTTGGGGTTGACGAACAGGCTGCGGCCAACAAAGGGGTTGCCGGACTGGCGTGCCTCAAGGGGAGAGGCACTGCCGGTGGCAAGCAAGCCAGCGAGAATGGCGTAGACGGCGCGCATGTTGTCGGCAGCGACTGTTGAGAAGACTTCCTGGTGTTGGCCCTGTTGATCAAGAGCAAGCACCAGACCGAGACTGTCTTGGGGTCATCTTTTATATCAAGAATCCTCTCTAGGTGTCGGGATTCGCATTCTCAGTTGAGTCTGCCCCAGCTGTTGCGGAAAGCATCCCGTCAGCCCGGCATCAAAACCTGCCTAACACGGCTCGCGAAGCCGTGGATGGTGTCCATTCCGTGACATCATGTGCTCCTTTCACGGCATGAATCGAAGTGATTCCCATCGCCAGCAGGTCGGCCGGGCCCGCTCACGGCTGGGGTGCGCCGCCGATGTTCCGGAAGCGATGCGGAGGAGGTTGCGGCTGTCGAAACGGGCGAAAAACGGAGGCAGACGCCCGCGTTTGCTAGGCCCGGTCTAGTTTTGTGGGGTCACATCGGGGGAGAACCCCATAAACTTGGGCACATATTTGGCCGAAGTAGGAACGTTATGGGGATTCTCGGTAGTCGGAAACGCTTTACCAGTGGCGCGCTTCAGCACTGCGCTTGACTGCCTCGTCTTCCCGCTCCAATCATTGTTCTGGACTGAGGTCTATTATGCTCCCGACAGCTGTAGGCTCTATTTGGGTCAGTTGAGAACCAATGTCTATAGGAGCTGGAATAATATCGACTCTCCCTCCTATCGGCCCTTGTGTGGGATTAGGACGATTGTCAAGACCTTGGGCTAGGCTGACATCCATTCGCAGGGCTCAATATGTCAAAGTTGCTTCCGGAAGTGTTCGAGCCTTGTGAGCTCACTCCTCCCTGTTTTCTGGAAATCTCTCGGTAATCCTCATCCACTGTCCACTCTGAATCAACAGACCGTACTCCTTCTCCCTCATCCTGCTTTTGGGGTCTGCCATCTCAAAGTCAAAGCGGCGGAGTAGCTGGTGAATTGTTAGCCAAGGTGTTAATGCCAACAACTAATCAATCGAGGGCCTTGCCTCAACAATGACCTTGTTCAACTCCATAAAAGCCATCGGCTTGCCGAGGCAGACCCATCTCCCATACCCAAAAATCATCTCGACCGTATCGGCCATCTTCCTCTTGGTCACGGGGTCAACCTCGAGCCACCTCTCAGGTCGAAACACATCGGCATCTTCGCCAAAGAGGGCTTTGTCTTGCATGATCGCCCAGGCGTTCTGCCCGACCCTCGTGCCACCGGGGATAAACTGGCCGTTGATGTAATCCCCCTGAGGCGGTACTTGCTTGAGCAGTAGGGCCATAATAGGAGGCTGCATGCGAAGAGTCTCATAAATCACAGCCTGCCAACCGTCAGTCCCTGTCTTCAGCAAAAACCCCCACACGGCAAACTCACCTGCAACAACTCCAACCTCTTCCCCTCCTCATTCTTCACCGGACTCGAAATCCTCCCCTCCCTCACCCCGTCGTCAATTTCTTTCTGCAATCTCAAATAAACCCTCCTACACGCCGCCAAATACAGCACCACCCCCCTCACCGCCACAGCCGTAGTGTCACTCCCCGCCACAATCTGAAACGGCACCTCCACCTCGCACTCCCGCTGCGTAACCCCATGCCGGACAAAGGCCCCGAGCATGTCCTTCCTATCCTTCTCCGCCCCAGGGGCGAACCTCTCGGCGACGATCTCCTCAGCCATCTTCATAATCCCTCCCACCCCCCCGCCAGACTTCTTCTCCGGCCCAACAACCGCGAGGACGTGCTTGTTCGTCAAGATCTTGCCCACAACAGGCCAATCACTCATAATGCCCAACCACGCCGCCTGGTCGTTGATCGTTCTGATCCAGTCAAACATGTCCTCGTTCCGGTCTAGATACCCAAACTCCTTCCCATAAGCGACTCTGGTGATAACATCGAGCGTGAAGAACTGGGAGATTCTCGCAAAGTCCACCTTCCTCGTCGGGCCGCGTGGCTCGGAAATGCATCGCTTCCTGATATAGGACACAAGTTTGCTAATGATGTGCTCGATGTCGCTCTCCAACGACGGGACCTCCTTCGCGTTGTACCCGTTTGCGAGCTTGGCTCGAAGGGCGGTGTGCGCCGTGTTGGAGGTGCAGACAAAGAGGTTCTCGCCCCAGGGGTCGAGGCGGAGGGGGGTGTACCAGCTTGAGCGGGCGTATTCCGTGCGGGCCGAGTTCATCTGGCGGATGAAGTCCGGGTCGGAGGAGAGGAGCTCTTGGGGGGCGATGCGGATGAGGGAGGAGGAGAACTTGGCGGGGAGGGCGCCGTAGACGTGGGCTTGACGGGGCTGTGGACCAGGCGTATATTTTGTAAAGGTTGGTGAATTTGGCGAGGAAGGGGCCGGGGATGTGCGAGAGGGGGCGGTAGGAGAGGTAGTGCCAGAGGATGAGGAGGGCGAGGAAGGAGAGGGAGAGGATGGGGAGAAGGTGAAGGCTGGCAAGAGCCGCGTGGAGGGCTGAGGATATGGGGGACATTGCGAAGTGGTTACCTACCTAAGGCACCTGGGCATGCTGTGTGCTTCGGCCTTGCAACGTTGAGAAGACGAGTCGGGCTTATTTATGATGTCTTGGACGGCGAACAAGTCCGGCTCGGCTTGATAGAATGCGAGTGTGCCTATTATGCTCGGGATACACACGACAGGCATGTCGTCAAGCACACACAACCATGTGATATCAGGGGACACAGATCACGTCACCTCTGTGCTGACAACCCCATCTGCCGGCAGCGATAGACCCTCGATGCACATCAAGGGTCGCATTTACGAGCACCATGTGGCATACCTATCTGACATGCCGAGGGCGAATGAAAAGAGCTTCCAAGGCAAGGGCCGTGGAATCCTGTACAAGACAGCACAATTGGCATGGTTACACAGACATTCCGTGAACGGCGTGATTGGCACAAGATGGATGGAGGGGGTCGTCTGGGGGTGAGGGGAACATGTACGGCTGCCCTGTTCTGGTCGTCATCAGCCATGATGATTCTCTCCTTGATCGAGGTACCTCCACGTCTATCATGAGCCGGTTACCGGTAATACCTCCCCTTGCTCCACGCACAAAACACTTGTCAGATCATTCTTCCCATCGCCGATGATGAACAGAGCCGGCAGCACCGGCAGCTCAACCGTCACGGTAACCCCTTTGCTGCCATCGCTGTCTTGGCAGTCGACGAACTCCCGTCCGAGTTCAACTGCATCGCCTCGGTTGGGGGTGCTAAAACAAACATTTGCTCGGTGTGCTCCGAATACAATGGCCAGCTCACTCGCCCTCTCCACGGCCACCGTCAGCTCCTCTTGTATCTCTTTGCTGACATCGCCACGGCAAACGCTCTTCAGCATCGCCAGCATGTTATCCTGGACTCGTTGACGATTGACCTGGACAGTCTTGCTGACCCCAGTGGCCAGACTGTTGCCATCCGCATCCTTTGCTGCAGCAGCATACAGGATAGACTGAAAAGTCGCCGAGCGCCACGAATTCGCATATCGATCCCGGTACAAGGGCCCAAACTCATTCTGTCTCAGAGGACCATTCTCGTCCTTTGACCCATCACCCTCGACGATTCCCTTCCAGCTCCGGTACAGCTCAAACAATGGCCCCCCATTGCCCCCAGGCCCCAGTGCTCCAAACCCGTACGGCGCCGAGAAGAAGCCATCCTGGATCATGGCCCAGATGAGAGCCTTTACAAAAAGCCTCTCCTGGCCTTTTCCCTCTCGCTCCAGGAAGCTGGCCGCATCGATGTTCCTGTCGATTGTCATGGGGCCGAGATTGAACGTGATTGTGTCGACAGATCGCTTCAGTGCCCGGTATTCCTCCTTGAGACTCCTGTCAGACACAAGTCGCAGGTCAAAGTCGCCCGGTCTTTCCATCAGGACCTGCTTGAAGTCGGCAATTTGTCTTTCGTACTGTTCCCTTTCCCGAGCCGCCTGTTCGTCACGGTCCATCATGTAAGCTGCCATCTTGGCGTCGGACTCCTCCATGCGGTGGCTGATCTCGGTCTTGTATTTTGCCGCCTGACTCTCCAACTCGATCTGGTAGTGGTGACGCAGCTCCTGAAGCCTCACGGTGCTTTCGTCTTTCAGTCTTTGTATCTGCTCCTCGTACCTTCTCGCCTGGTGTTTCTGCTCAG